TTTGTTGTTGTTGTATATTTATTTAACGATAGATTATTTAGGATTTCTACATGAGAAAATCAGGTATGGTGTGTATAACTTTCTCTAATCGCCTAATATCTAGTATGCTGCTTTAACATTTGATGTAATTGTAAAATGTTACCGCTTTAAAAAACCAATATTGAGCTTCTTTTTATTCCAACTTTCACAGCACTTTCTTGACAAGGGTGACGTCACCTAAACGTAGAGGTAAATGTAAAAGAGATAATTATTGGCTGATATGGGGCAATCTTGTTGTGCACTATTTATTTGATATATTGAAATATATCCTATGCGATGATATATTTGATATATACACCGGAACAAATAGAAATTTCCATCGAGTTAGCAGACTCTCAATACTGAAATTTCATATTTCTGCGCTGCTCTCTTATAGTAAGATATCAATAAATCTGTATATGATCGCAGCACTACTCGAATCTTGGACGTTTCTGACACAAACCCCTCTCAGAATTTTCATGTTTGTGAAATATAATAGTTTAAAGTTATTTCATGTATAAGAGAAATTCACTCGGATTTACCTATATCACACACACAAAGCATTATTAAGACCACCAATCTTATACATTCACCACAGGAAGAAAGGAATCATAGATGGAGTTCCTGTATTCCAGGCAGTGCAGAACCCAACAATTTACCTATATAAATCTATTTATGAGCTTTGATTGTCCTAATAAAGACTTTTGTGTATGTGTAAAGTTATCTTCGCCTACTTTACATTAGTTTAAAATATGTCCGCTTTGTAAAACATCAAATGAATAATTTAATAATTAAACCCACAAGTCGGGGATAGTGTGTTGGTTCTTCTACCTTAGCTAATAGAGACGTTGTCTTAATTTAATATTTCTGTGTGAGTCATGTCTAGATCATTCATTGGTCATTTTCGTCAATAAATATTTTAGTTAAAAATATATTATTATATTTAAAACATGAGAGTCATATCCTGACCAGACTCACACGAGTTTTTCTAGATGGCAGAGCGCCATCTAGCGGAGCAAATATTGTAACCTTGTATATGACTTATTTAATAAATAAAATGCTTATCTGGGATCACCAATGATTTAATTGATGTTCTCTGATATGGCGCTCTGCCATCTAGAAAGGATCGTGTGAGCCTGGTCAGAATATGTCTCTTTTGTTTTAGATATCACCACCTGACCTATTTTATATTTTTTATTGTTTTTCACATATTAATATGAAGAGACAAGTGTCGCCTCTCCCGTCAAAATAGACGTCTAAAACCAGACGCCATCTATTGACCGTCGCCACAAACTAGCGGCCTCGGGTCGGTGACAAAGCCACAACACCAGCTTTGGCAAACTGAAAAGCGCCCATCTAGGGACCGTGGTTTCGGGCTAATGGCCCTCGTCAGTCTAGGGCGAACTTTATTCCATGAGATCCACACGGGATCTAATGAAATCTTGACAATCTGCCAAAGAGGTGTTTAGCTGGCAAAGTGGCTGGGCCATATCTATGGCTAAAATATAGATTTGACGGGAGAGGCGACCCTTGTCTCTTTAGATCAATTTCCTCCCGACAAAATTTCCATCTACATATTAATATATATTCCCAATACAAGTAAAACATTAAAAATAACGATAAATCCTGAAAAAAATAATTTATTACTCTCACTTTCTTTTTTAAAAGACCCGAACACATACATCAGTACACCGAAGGATTCTTGAGGCGTGATCCTTATAGAAGATAGGTGATTAACTCGGTTGAAATATCAGAAAATATCAATTAAATCATTTGTGATCCAAGATAAGCATTTTATTTATTAAATAAGCTATATACAAGGTTATATAAAATTTACCACTCTTTGTTTAACATTGATACTAATCGAGATTGAAATAGAGCAATTCGAATATATCTATTCCCAGACGATATGAAGACTTTACACTACACTCATGGACAAAACTTAAGGAAGTTGTATCTTTTAACATGTATATCGGGATTCAGAGAATAACTCTGAACGATATTCGATACACATTGATCTTTATTGAAGACACATGAGATAACCAAGTGTGAACAAAATTGTTCTGTCTCCTTAAAAAAAAAAAGACGACCGTCGATATCAAAGACACTCCACGTCCATAAGTTTTGTCAATTTTCTTACGATTGCAATAATTGTTTGTTGTTGTTGATTTTCCCATTAATATTTTCAATATCCTTTGCATAATTGATAGAAAACCTTAAGTAGTAATGTACACACCCCACACACATTTTCAGCCATATAGACATTTAGCCTTATTTAGCCATATCTAATATATGAATTAATATTGCCATACAAACATTCGCGTCTTAATGTCTTCCTTCGATATATATAGATGTCGCGTTATTGCTTTGCATTAATTTATGCTTAACGTGTCCTTATTGTTTGCGGAAGAGCATTGCTCGATTCAAATATTTAAATGTGGTTCTACTGTCCTAAAAGCTTATGTCCATAGTTTGCTTAAATACCATTTCTAAGATTCTATCCTTCAGTGTAGCATATAAAAGCAGAATGATCTAATACAGTATTAGAGCTCTAAAGAAAAGGTCTGGTAGATTAAATTGGCGAAACCGCTGGGAGGATTCATAACGGATGAGCCACCCTCTCAATATGTTTTCATCGCAGTAAGGACAGTAGAAGTTTGATTTATTTGTGAAAAGAAACATTCGCGTCTTAATGTCTTCATTCGCTAAACACAAACATTAAAGAAAACTATTAAGGAAATTATCTGTGACCTAGCACTTATACAATATCACATATATTATGCAAATATAACGACCACAATAAATGGTAAATTTTCTATGGTATCGATTATATTATACAATGTGTCAAGTGAGGCGGAAAGAGTCGTTGAGAGAGAATTGTCAAAGCAGCAGACGACTGGTAGTTGCGCCGTTCACCACCAGGGGGATATTAAGCCACGCCCCTGCTGCCTTCCCATTGGCTTAATTCAAACCGCCCCAAGCCATCTGGCGGTGGTTGTTTTGTCAGTTGTCACAATGACGTTATTCCGGGCGGCTACCTGCGGCCCAAATCCATCATGTCACCCACTTGACAACACAACCAACAACATATCTGCCATTGATTACATCTTTGATCACACGTTTCTTGTATAAATCTTTTCATATCGGTTCTCTAGACTTCGGGCCCTTCTACATGAGGATTGATTCAAAACATCAAACCCTTCCTAACACATATTTCCATAAATACATCTCGACTACAGAAAGGATATTGAAACATGATAATATCAAAACAAATTTGTATCCTTTTATTATTACAGTAATTTGACTCAGTCATAGTCCATCAACAAGTCATTTGTAGAAATAGGAAACTATACATTTGTGATTTACATAATAATTGGCACTTATTATAGCGAACGAAGACATTAAGGCGCAAATTTTTCTTTTCATTCGGGTGCTTAATGTCTTCGTTCGTTATATATAGAGGGCGCGTTATTGCTTTCTATTACTTTTCTTATTGTTTACATTTTTAAAGGTAGGATTATTTTTTATCAATAGATTTAGTGTTCCGCTAATACAACGAATCTACAACTATTGATAGCGTTAACAAGTTTCCATATGTTTACAGGAATCTTTATTAGAATTTTGCGAGAGGAATTCAATATACAGTTACGAGCGTCATCAATTCTTCATCTCTTAATCAGTTTTCAACTCTGTCACCGTTTGCTTTTTTTTTTTTTTGGAATGGCGCCCTCCTATTGGTTGGCTACGATATCACGCCACCTTTGCCCCCCGCCCTCACTCGCTTTTTCGTTTTTGTAACTATTGTGTTGGAGCGGGTCGCTCCTTAAATAAATGCATATATTAGTTAATAACCAAATGGAATCCTCTCTTTCTTTTTCCCAGTAAGAGACACCTACGGAAGCCAACAGTACATAGACAGATAAAGCACATAGGCTATAGTTATTAACTAACATGCATTTATTTAAGGCGCCAATTTATAATTGTAACAAATAGTATTTGAATCAAAACATTCAATCGGGTAAAACACGGGCGTTGCCCGGGTCATTCGGCTAGTATAATTATATGCAACAAGAGCACTTCTCCCGCTCAAACACCTTTTGGGTAATTTTGTGTCATTTCACGATTCCTCCCGAAGGAGATAAGAAAATCGAAGCCGCCTTCTGAATATGGTTACAGCCCGAAAGCGTGATATAAAGATTGGCTTTTTATCTTAATTTGCCGATACTCAGTTTTGAATTGAATTAATGTATACGAATTTGTTCTATTTGCACACATAAAAGATCGATAAAATGCATCGTTTTAAAAGAATTTTTAAACGGGAGACTAATTCCTTTTCTCACAGAAGAATTCGTGTAATAAATTTGATGAAAAAAATTAAGAGGATACATTTATAATACATTCTATACAGATCACAAAACGAACGATCACACCAGAGAAGAACTTAGAATGACAGACCTAATAGCAAATATCATTTTGGAAAAAAAAAAACACATTAGTTTTTTACAAGACGGTGCAGGCGGGAGCTGTCGTCCAGTGAGTGAATGTGCCCTGAAGCTTGCCCAGGCAGAGTAGGCTGAAAAAAGCCAGATGAGCCCCAGTCGAGGCATCCCAGGTCGAGGGATATATAAACAAAAGACGCTAAAAAAAAGGCCGAGGGAGCTCAAAGCAGAAGATAGCGATGGTGGGAACGTTTAATCGAGGGCCATAAAAGGACAGCTTATTCAAGGGAACAGGACTGGACTGTACGGAGCGGGACACTTCGTGACAGTGCGACAATAACTCGACAGCTCTACAGGGCTAGGACGAGGAACACTAGAAGACGTATAAAATGTTTGGAAGCAAGTACCTTTTATTGTGTTTAAAAGAGTGTTAACTCAACCTACATCGCCAATTCGAACTTGTCCTTTTTTGAGCCTTCCACACTTGTGTACAAGGCTGGCGGACCATCGCAACAATTTATGCACAGTAGGTTTAAACAACCTACAACCATACCACATTGGATACACCAGTTCTCGTTCGATCACCGAAGTTAAGCAATGTCGGGCCCGGTCAGTACTTGGGAGGGTGACCACTTGGGAACACAGAGTGCTGTAGGTTCTTCTTTCCATTAGGTTTCTTAAGCAGTGAAACAAATATGATTAATCTCAGAAAACTCATTGCAGATTTTTTATCCTCTCTCCTTCTCCTTTTAAATATAAATGTAAAAAGTGTGTATTCGAATAAATTAGTCTATAATGGATAAATTGTTGTTCTCAGAATAAAGACTCAAATGTATTTACAATTTCAAAACGTTTGACGTCACTTTATAAACTTAAAATATGCTATAGAATACTTGGTAAATGATAAAAATTCTTTTGAAAATAGACCTTTAGAGAAGTTCAGTTCTTAAATCTGGGTACTGATTGTCGCGGCAGTTTTTACCACCAGGTCTTCGCAATTCTAGTGAGGTGGGGTTGCGATTATAAATACCCTACATGGTTGCAAATTTAGATTCAATTCGACTTTTGTATTTACAAGATGTAATTTTTATTTGTTATTTTTCATTTTTGTGAAATTTCAGGCATTAATATTCAAATTAATTATAGAAAATCTACTGAAATATTTTCTATTGATTTATAATAAGTTCTAGCTTCCGAATTATAAAATCTTCATTAGACAAATTATATTTTTATTGTCTCATTTGTTTGAAGAGCTTATAACTCGGAACCGCTAACTTTTCATAAATAAAAAAAAGTATTAGGGTAGAGATTTTCTATAATTTGAATTTCTTACTTATATTCACACACATTAAGGTTTGAAACCCTTGCAAAAACAAAAGACCTCTGGAACATTGTATAGTTTTTTTTTTTATTTTAAAAAACCTTCTTCAGTTTGGAACTTCGAACCCGTGTCCCGTGGGTCGTATTGACACTTATGGACAAAAGGAATTGGAAAGTCTCTCTTGACCAACTCCTATTACAACTCGGACAATCCTGACAGCCATGACAGACTGATGAACAAACAACAGAATCGCCATCCCGTAGATGCATAAGCTTGTGTAGTGAAATATGGGTCGAGATAGCTCAAAATTAATGAGGCTGAGTGTGTTTTGATAAAGAGAATTTTCAGTAATATTATGTATATATGAAAATGAAAACACTTAAAAATGCCGATAAAACATTTAAATATAAAAAATATATGCTTGAAACTTAATAAAAAATCTCAAATTTGGTCTATACAACGGTTGTTTAATGAATAATTATCCTGACATACTCCCCTAGAGACAAACTAGCCAGATTTATATATATAGGTACACCCATTCTCTAAATAGCTGCTACCATGCAAATATATATTTACATATAATCACCAATGATTAATGAGAGAACGATCTTGTAGAAGTGAAGCTATTGGTTGTGTGAACACGATTGTGTTGTGTCTCATATCCAGGATATTACATGAGCCAAAGAAGAGATTGGAGCAGGGAGTGAAGGAGCTAAATGAGGTGAATACAGGGGATATTTCATATCACAGCCTGAGTGCTTATCTTCTTGGAAGAGAACAATAGAATTTTAATATAAGACCCTTGTACGGGATGATGACGTTTTTTTTTTTTTTTTTCTTCTCTGAAATCATTTATTTTTCAACGGCAGAGATAAACAAACACAATGCCCATGTTACTTTTCAGTCCCTCCAAAAAAGAGGAATTACCAAGGTCTCCAAAATACGCCTCCCTATCAGTGAAGACTTCCTCATTTGAGCCAATTTTCTCTCCCTCCTAGCCATATTTGAGGCCAGCTGGTGAATGCGTCAGCAATTTTTTATGCAATCCATGCAGTTTGGCTGCGACAACTTCTGGGAATGTGCTGGTGCATTTATCATGGTGAAACTACATTTTTTCTACGACAAATGACGTCGGGTCTCCTTTAATTGGTGTCGAAAGTGGTTTAATAACTCACTGTAGTTTTGTCCAGTGGGAGTTTTCCTTAAGAAGTCTATGATAATGACGCCCTTCGTTTGCCAAAAATTGCTGCCAATAATTTTCTGGCAGATGGAACCATCTTCGCCTCCCTTTGGAGCAGATTCCCCGGAATTATTGTTCTGATTGTCGCTTGGCTTCCGGGGTATAATAATGAATCCAGATTCCATCAACGCTCGCTACTGAACGCTGAAAATATTTTGTATTTGTTTAAATTATTCCAAACACTGCTTTGAAGCTGAAACTCGCATTCGCTTGGAATCCTTTGTGAGCAAACGTGGCATTATGGGGCCGGTAACTTTTTCATGTTTATAAAATATTAAGACAATGGTATTCTCCCTATTCATTTAAATCACAAGACGGGGAGAAAGAAGATTTTTTCATAAACGTTCATACAAGATTTCAGCAAGTCACCCTACGGGGACAATACTTCAAAGAGGTACATTTGGTAGGAATTTTTATATATTTACACAGGTATAAAAGAAACTTTCGCGCTTTTAAGTCCTTTTATTTTATATGTATAGATGGCGCGTTATTGCTTTGTATTAATTTATTCCTAACTTGTCTTGTCTTTATAGTTTGCTGAAGATCATTGCTCGAAGCAAATATTTGAATGTAATTCTACTGTCCTATAAGCTTATGTCCATAGTTTACTTGAAAACCATTTCTAAGATTCCATCCTTCAGTGTAGCATATAAAAGCAGAATGATCCAAAACAGTATTAGAGCTCCGAGAAGCGGTCTGGTGGATTGAATTGGAGAAACCGCTGGAAGGGTTCACCACTGATGAGCCAAGCCCTCCCAATATATTTTTTCATCGCAGTAAGGACAGTAGAAGTTCGTTTTATGTATAAAAGAAACATTCGCGCTTTTAAGTCCTTTTATTTTATATGTATAGATGGCGCGTTATTGCTTTGTGTTAACAGGTGAATTTGTTATTTTTTTTTAAGTTGTGTAAATATATAAAAATTCTTACCGCTTGTACCTCTTTTATGTATTGTACACGACGACTTTAGTTGAGGTTAATTGACCAATTGACTATGGTCTTCTACCCTATAACCAGGCGCGACTCTAACGGCAAGTGGCCCGAGGATCTGGCAGCAAACTATCCCGCGAAGGTGGAGGAAGCGAAGAGATGGCCGAGGATGTATTGTACACGTAGAAAGGTGACTTGCTCGAAAGCTTCTATGAACGTTTATAAATGAAAGAAACTCTTTTCTTCGTCTTGTGATTTTTCTTTTATGAAATAACAAATGCTGTTGACACACACCGATGTCCTCTGCTTCTCACGCACTTTTGTTCGTCGATCTAAGAGAATCATGTCGTGGACTTTTTCTGATATCCTCGGGAACCACATCTGATGGGCATCCTTGGACAATCCTAATCCAAATCTGATATTAGACCTCTTTCAAGTTTGAATCTGTCATCTTGGATATGGAGAAGGTTTCCCCTTAACGGAACCCAGCTTTGTTTTTATTTCTTCATATGTTTCCCATTCAAAAGCAAAAAGAAAATATCACTGAACAATACTGCACTTTTTCCATCTTAGCCCAAGTCACTGAAATGGCTGCCAAATTAATTAGTGAATTAGTTGGAAATTTGACGCGTGCGTGCCAGCGCATGGTGGTAAAAATCCACATGATTTATCAACGCTATCTGTTTATAAAAACAGGCACTAGCTGAACCACCCTCGTAAAAGTTGGATTTTATTTGATTATTCTCCAAGTTGGTGTAGCTGTTTACATGATGTACTGAGTGATCTGAAGCCCCGTGCGCTTCGTAGAGAATGTCGCGAAAAATTTCTTTTGAATATGAATATACCACATACTCTTCCCAAGATTATTTTATTCATAGATATATTATATATTGGGTTGTAAAGAAAGTTCGTTCGGTTTTATTTGACAATTATATTTTGACAAAAAACATTAATTATAACAATTAATTATAGCTTTGTATAGCGAACATTTGTTAAAACAATTCTCTAAAAACTTATTAAAAAAAAAAGATATATTTTGATAATTTGAAACTCGTAAATTTGAATCTCTCGATATATTGTTATCATCGTCACAATGGGGGCGCTGCTTGCGAGTTAAATCTACAAATCTGCATATAACTCTAAGGATATTCAAGATATTCAGGAAATTATTTTTCAAAAACCTTCCCGGTGATATACCTAATAATATCCCAAAATTTCACGGCGATTGGATGTATGGTTTTTGAATCTATAGAGTGCAGACAAACAGACAGACAGACAGACATTCAATTTTATATATAGATAGATTCACTCTTCATTGTTGGCTTTTTATCTTACATTCATTCTTCATTGTTGGCTTTTCATCTTACATTCATTCTTCATTGTTGGATTTTTATATTATATTTACTATTCATTGTTGGCTTTTCATCTTACATTCATTCTTCATTGTTGGCTTTTTATATTACATTTACTATTCATTGTTGGCTTTTTATCTTACATTCACTCTTCATTGTTGGCTTTTTATCTTACATTCATTCTTCATTGTTGGCTTTTTATATTACATTCACTCTTCATTGTTGGCTTTTTATATTACATTCACTCTTCATTGTTGGCTTTTTATCTTACATTCATTCTTCATTGTTAGCTTTTTATATTACATTCACTCTTCATTGTTGGCTTTTTATCTTACATTCACTCTGTTGGCTTTTTATATTACATTTACTCTTCATTGTTGGATTTTTATCTTACATTCACTCTTCATTGTTGGCTTTTTATATTATATTTACTCTTCATTGTTGGCTTTTTATCTTACATTCATTCTTCATTGTTGGCTTTTTATATTATATTTACTCTTCATTGTTGGATTTTTATCTTACATTCATTCTTCATTGTTGGCTTTTTATATTACATTTATCCGAGTGAAAGTTTGCCTAACGAATATTATATATTATGAAGTATAATAAACAATGTTAAAGATTAGTTTTAATTATTAATCAAGATTGTGTGTGAATATGTGAGAAAGATGTAATATCGTTGTTGTGTTCTTGGCCGACTGTTTTACATATGGTGTTATCTTAAAATTGCTTGTTTTGAATATTTTTTTAGATTGAGTTGAATGAATTGCTGAATTTTTTTTTTGTATTTATATATAAATAAAATTAACTCTGTT